CCCGGGCCTCAGCCTGCCTGGGCCCAGAACCCCCGGCCACCTCCGGGCGCCTTGCGCCCCCACCCCAGCCTCCGCAGGCCCCAGGCCGAGCGCCGGGGCAGGAGTTTCAGTTTTGCTCTGGGGCCGCCCCCTCAAGGCCGCGGCCTGGGTGTCCCACCTGCCCGGACTGAGCCCCCAACGCTCCGAATGCAGTTCCGCGGTTCGCTCTTCCGCCTGCGCCCGGCGCCTCCCGGTTTAAACCCACTCAGGCCCCTCCCCTCGGCGGCCCCTCCCCTCGGCGGCCACGCCCTGATCTGGGGGCGGTGGGCAGCACGTAGGGCTGTGAACCCGCAGGGGTGCCCTGGAGCCGGGCGGGGCGGGCAGGTACCGGGAATCCCACTCGGGCCTGGCCAGCGCCCCAGGCGCACGCCCCTCGGCTGGCTGGGGGGTCTGCGATCACCCCCAGGGCCGGAGGTGGCTGCTGCGGAGGAGCAGGGTCCTCTCAGTTCTACCCCTGCCCCTTTCGACCGTCCCTCCCCTAGAGTCACCGCGAAGGAACGCAGGCGGTCGGGTGCGTCCTGCCCGCCCTGACGGCCTTTGAATGGAGTTTGCAAGGGAAATGGGGACCTGCCAGCGGTGGTTTCACTTTCCAAAAGGTGACTTTATTGCCCGAGGGAGGCCATAGAGCAGGCACTGACCCTGACCCGCTTCCCCTCCCTCCACCAGGTCTGCCCTCTGCCCTGGAGCCGGCTTCCCCCGATGCTGCATAGTCCCAAGTCAGCAGAGCCAGGGAGTCCTCAGGGGTCCCTTCCGTGACACTGTGCCCCTACTCAGCCTTGGCCGTGGAAGAGATGGGGTCTCTGATTCCAGCACACTTCCAGTCTGTCTGAAGAGATGACCAGGCCTTACCCCATGGGTCCAGCCCCTCCACCTGGGCTCAGAGGAGGTTTCTGTCCACCCGGGAGAACATTGGCCCTCTCTCATATGCCCATCCGAGCACCCACCTTCCGGGACAGGGGGCTCCCGGTGGTGCAGAGGATGGAGGCCCAGAGCCTTTCAGGCACAACCGCAGGGGCTGGCAGGCTGGGAGCCACAGCCCATGACAGGAATCGCTCATGGATCTTCTGGCTGGTCCTCCCTTTTGCTGCCCAGAGATCCCAGGTGGAGAGGGTCGAGCAGGTACCCTCTTGTCCCCCAGGGTCAGGGCCCAAGACCTTTCCTCTTCTGCCCCCAGTTGGGGCCCTGGGGACTTAGACTCTCCTCTCCCCCAGCCCTCACCTCTGCCTGGGTCATACTTGACCAGATACTCATCCAGGGCCACCCAGCCACCTCCGACACGGACCATGAGAGCACCTCGAGACACCTGCGCGGGCACAGGGGGGTGGGGGTCCGGGCTTCTGGGGTGGAGGGTGTGGGGTCAGTTACCACAGCTCTGCCCTCACTCCCACCCAAGCCCATGCTCACACCTGCTTACTGAGGCTTCCTGGACCCTGAGCCGTCCTTTGGCCACCTGTGTCCTTGTCCCTGTCCACATCCGCCACACTGGCCACGCTGTGTGGCTGCTGCTGGCCGCTGGGGAGCCCTGACCCCAACAGAGTAAAGAGCTCTGGTATGGGCCCACATTCCCCCAAGATGGGTCAGGGCAACTGCATCCATCCCCTGCCCTGCTCACCGGACCACTGGCCGCTGTCCACAATGTTCTGCTGGGAGGCGGGCTGGTGCTGCCTGTGGCCAAGCCATTGCAGGCAGCATGGCCACCAGGCCATGAAACCCGTGTGCGTGCCAGCTCCACGCTGTGAGAAGGCAGTGTGAGACTGGCTGGTCCTGGATCTCTCTCTGTGCCCGGGTGTGCCCACCGCTCACCTGCACGCAGTGGGGGGCTGCACGTGGCTGCCCCTCCCCACGTCATGCCCACTGGTCCTCGTCCCTCCAGCTCCTCTCCGTGTGGCTCCCACTCCCTGTGGTGGTCTCCAGCTCAGGTCTTCCAGGAGCCCTCCCAGGGACGCCCGGGTGACTGTCCTGCTCCTGAGGTCCTCAGGCTGTCCCTGGCCAGGGTCCCTCAGGGTCAGGGCCTTCCCTGGAGCTCTGGTCCAGGGCTTCAGCCCAGCAGCCCCCAGGGCCACAGGCCACTCCTCTAGCCCCCAGCCCCGGGCCTGCACCACCTGCACAGCAGGGCGGGAGCAGAGAGGAGCCTCAGGGAGTTGGTGTAGGTGGGGGGTGTTGGGAGGCTGATGAGGTGAGCCCCCCCATGCCCCATCCTGCCCACTGCTTGACCTGCCACCCCCAGCCCCTAGACTGGTGTCCCTGCCTGAGTGGCCACTGGGCACCCAGAGTCCCTGCAGGCTGCCCTCCTTCCCCCAGAGCACCTGCAGGTCAGAGGGGCACTCAGAGTCCTGGTGCAAGGAGGGGGGTCTGAGGACCCCTGGGAGCAGTGCCATCATGACGACCCCAGCCTGGTCCAGAAGGTGGCTGTGCCGGCCACAGCCCCTGGCCACAGGCCCTGGCTTGGGCCCGTGGGGCTCTGCCTGGCTCGCCTGGTGGGCAGCGTAAGCAGCTCCTCCGCAAAGTGTGGGGCAGCCAGCATCGCCATCCCCTCCAGGACGCGCGGCCTAGTGCAGAGGTGGGCAGCAGTGAGCAGGGGCAGGGCCGGGCAGGAGTAGGGTGGGCAGGGGGCAGGGTGGCAGGCTGACCTCTCTGTTGTGGAGCTGGACGCCATAGCCCGGCAGCCCTGCGGCTCCAGCAGCAGGCCCAGGTGGCAGGTGCCCCTGCCGGTGGCCCTTCCTGGTAGGGCTGGTTCCCTCCACAGCAAAGATGCCGACAGGGTCCACTCTCCCCACAGCTCCCACGGGAAAACCTGTCATCAGAGGAGCCATGTCAACTGCCTGCCTCCAAGAGGGCTGGTGCCTCTGCCCTCCTCTTGGGTGCCTGCCACGTCCTGAACCCTCCAACCCCTCCAACTGGTGCCTGAGACTGGTCCCTCCAGAAGCAAAGGAGGCGTGGCACACACTAGCCCAGCCAGCATGGCAGGAAGGCTCTGCCGTGACCTGGCCTCAGGGCAGGTCAGTGGGGGAACACAGCCTCTGCTCAGCTGGCACCATTGTGCTGGGCACTCAGGGCTGGAGGAAGGAAAGGCCTGCAGAGCCAGCAGGGGGCTCCCTATTCTGGGTTGAATTGTGTCCCCCTGAATTCATGTATTAAAGTCCTAACCCCCGAACTTCTCAGAAGGTGACCTTATTTGGAAATACAGTCACTGCAGATGGAATTGGTTAAGGCGAGGCACATGACAGTAGGATGGACTCTGATCAATGTCCTTGCAGAAAGGAGAGATTAGGGCACAGACAGACAGAGAAAGCTGATGTGAAGGGACAGGAAGAAGGCGCGCTGGAGTCTGCAGCAGAGAGCCTGGGCAGATTCTCACTCTTCGCCCTCAACAGGAGCCCACCCTGCCCTGCGGAACCTAGCCCCAGCACCTCCAGCCTCCACAGCCGCCTGGCCTGCCTGCGGGGCTCCTTCAGGAGCCGCACGCATAGCAGTCCCAAATCCGAGAGCTAAACCTGGCAGGGGAGCTGGACTTCAGGGCAGGAGGAAAACCCTGAAGCTGCCCCGTGCAAGCCCCAGCTTCTCCCAGGTTATGGGAGGAGGAGGAAGGGGAGGAGGAAGGCAGAGCCTTGGTTCCCAGGCTGGGTCAGGAGGTGGCAGTAAACCAGGAGAGATGCCCAATCTCCACCTGAGAACTAAATTTCTTTATATTTTGCTCTAAACAGGCATTTTCTTCCCAGTCCCTCCTAAGCAGGAATCATGAGCAGCACTGTGGTCCTAGCTGGGAGCTCCCCTTGACAGAGGAGGTAGAAGCTGTGTCCAGACCCCTTGGTCCTCTGTGTCCCTACCCAGCACAGCTTAGAGGCTGGGTAGTGCTGTCTCTAGAGGTACTGTCCTTGGTTGGCCAGATGTACCTGGATCTCTGGCTCTGACCCCCTGGATAGCAGAGCAGCCTCGTCATGGGGACTCGAGGTTGCTTGGGGGCTGGGAGCCAAGTCAGGAAATTGCCACAGAAACCCCTCTGGTCAACTCTGCCGCTCAGCTGTCCACCTCCCTGACGCACCATCTTCACCCACAAGGGAGCGAGGCTCCTCTGCACCTGTACCGCCTGCAGGCAGCCTTCTCTGTGGTCACCCCTCTCCTCCCACAGGACTCCAGGACCAGCTGTCCCCCATCCTCCCAGTCCCCTGAGGCACCTGCAAAGCTTGGGCCCAGCTGCCCTCAGGTTGCAGCCCCTCCTCACTGGCCGCCAGCTCCACCGGACCCCGTGCAACCTTCAGCCTAGTGTCCTGCTCCTGAGCCTCTGACCGGCACCCTCCCAGAAGCTCCACCTCTGCCCGGAACACAGCTGAGGAGAGACAGGAGCACCCTGAGACCACAGCTTGGTCACAGCTCCCTGCCCCCACCCCACCCAGCCCTGGCTGCCTACACACCTGGGGTCCCTGAGCCCACCTCTGGGGCCAGGCCTCGCATTTTCTCTACAGTGACCCCTGTAGGTTTCGCGGGACCTGGTGGGGGGTTCGGTTCCTGAATGGACGCTGTGTCCACTACCGCCTGGCCTGGGGCCTCTGTCCAGGGTGCCAGCCAGGCACTCAGCTTGTGGGGAGAGCAGCATTGTCTCAGGCAGCCCCTGCCACACCCACCCCAGCCACCCCCGCTCCATGGCCAGAGAGGACGGGGCAGGGTGGAGCCCTTCCTGCAGCCCGGGGATGGGGAGGGCCAAGCGGGCCCAGACACCTGCTCTCGGTTCTCGAGCCCTCGATGTTCAGAGGCTGCCCTCTTCGGTTCCAGCTGGGCTGCCGGGCTTGTCAGGGGCGAGGGGTCAGAGGACTCTGTCCCCAGGTCCTGCAGCAGCTTCTGCCGGGCGCGGGCAGCGCCTTCCCCGGTCAGCCTCACCCGCTCCCGGAGCCGCTGCAGCTGTCCCCTCACCAGCAGAGCTTCGTCCTCTGCAGCCGGCGCCGGGGGGTGGGGGCTGTGGTCAGAGACGTGGGCGCCAAGAGGGACTCACACTTGGGGGCTGAGGTGGCAGCATGACTGTGCCCCAAGGCAGGGGTGGAGGGACTGGGGAGGGGCTTTTCCGGGGGTCCCCAAACGTGAGACCGAATGTTGTCTGCCTTGCTCATCCCACTCACCACTCACCCGCGAGCAGCTCTGCCAACCTTTGGCCAGCTTCCAGGGCCCTCTCCAGGCCTTCTGTCCGGGCTGCAGCCCCCTCGCACACACCCTGTGAACACATGCCCACTGAGCCCCGTGCCAGCCCCCGGGCCCGCCCTGGTCCCTGGTCCATACCTGCAGGCGCTGCACGGCCCCCTTGCAGCCCTCAGGCCCCAGCTGGTCCTGCCACAGCTCAGCCAGGAGCTGCTCGCCTGGGGTCAGCAGAGCCAAGAGGGCGCTACGGGCCGCCTCGAAGCTCCGGGCCGCAGGGACCAGCTGCTCCAGGAGCCCCCACCTGGGAAGCAGACAGGGCAGTCAGTGGTGCGCTCCTGCGCCAGCACCGTCTGCCCAACCCCTACGGCCTCACCTGGCCTCTGCTCGCTGCACCAGGCCATCCCACCGGGCCCGCAGCTGTCCAGGGCTCTGCGCCTCCTGCAGCCTCAACTCCACCTGGAGCGCCCTCTCCTCCAGCAGGTGCCGGAGGAGCTGCCAGGTATGGGCATGGGACTGGGCGAAGGGTGCTGCCACCCTTGCCCAGCCCCCAGCGCTGCCCCTTCTGGGGGCCTTTCCTTCCCCGAGCCTGCAATCCTTCCCCACCTGCCGCCCTGGAGAGGGTCTGCAGGCCTTCCCTGTGCGCCAGTGGCTCAGCCTAAGGCTCAACGGAGGACTCGCGGGTGCCAGGGGCCCACCCGGCCCTGCCCCGCACACCCTGTACCTTCTGCTCCCGCAGCTGGGCCACAGCCACCGTGACGTCAGGGGCCAGGGGTCCCTGTGAGGCCTGAAGCTCCTCCATGCCTTCCAGCCAGCTGCGAGTAGTGTCCAGGGGCCCTGGGGATGCCTACAACAGGGATGCACTTCTGTTGGGGGGCTGGGGCTGTGGGGTGCTGAGCCCTGACCTTCACCCCACCCTGGGACTGCCCTGCCTCACCAGGGCTGGCTGCCTTCCTGGCTGGACGGGTCCCACTTCCACAGCTTCTGTCACCACCGTCTCTGTCACTTCTGTCACCTCTGTCACCTCTGTCACCTCCACGGCACGGGGTCGCCAGCGGGCCCAGGAGATCCCTGGTGGGGGCTGGCCCCAGGGATCTGCGGGCAGGGAGGGGCCCCCTTGGGCCCTCGGGCTGGCCCCGGCGCGCCTCCTCCCCTCCCCCAGGCAGCCCAGTCGCGAGACCGGGTTTCCCATGGCAGCTGGGGCACCACGCAGCCTGCAGGAGGGCAGGATACGGAGGGCGTTCTGCTGTGGCAGGACAGGGGGACTCACGGCAGGGTGGTGGAGCCCCGACTCACCCAGCCCCTCACACACTGCTGCGTACGAGCTGGGGCTGGGTCCCCTGTAGGCTTACCGCCGAGCGTCACTCCTAGTGGCTCCTGCCCTTAAGAGTCTGCATGGTCGCGGCAGCCACTGCTGCCTCTGCCACGTGTGCCTGCCCCAGCCCTCCCTCTCCACACAGCTTGGCCAGCCACAGCCCAAGGCCCAGCAGCCCAGCCGCCAGCCCAGCGCTCTTCTCTTAGCCTGGTCTCCCACCCGCCACCTGTTTCCTGGGAAACGGGTCCCCGGCCTCAGCCATGAGGGTGGGGGAGGGGCTGGGGAAGGGGCTGCAGTGCTGGAGCCTCCCCCCTCCCCCCAAGTCCCCTGCACAGCGGACAGAGGCCAGGGCCTCTCACTACCCACCCAGGCCCTGTCCAGCCTCCCCGCACTGCTGTGGGCCGGGGGTGGGGGATCGGGGAAATGGGGCATGGAGCACACCCTTCAGGGAGCCCCTCTGGCTGGATCAGTGAGCCGGAGGCTGCAGAACCATCCCTGGGTTCCTCCGTCTCCTCCTCCGCAGCCTCAGGCAGGCCCCGAGACTCCTGGGCTGCGGCTTCCCCCACTTCCACGTGGCCTTCACAGGCCGCCCCTCCTCCCCCAGCCAGCCCCCTCTCAGGGCCTGGACCCCCCCACCAAGGCTTGCCCACATCCCACACTGGCTGGCTCTTGCTTTTGGGAACCACAGACCTCGGCCACACCCGGCCTGGACTTAGCTACCCCTGCCTCCAGCCTGGAAGCTCTCTTCACAGGCCTGCTGGACAAGGGGGGACTCCCTGCAGAGGGGCTCCCGGACTCCTGCTGGCCCACGGTTCCCTAACGTGTTTTGTGGTGGGGCGGTCAGGCAGGCGCATGCGTGGGCCGGTTCCTTCATTCCTTCATTCACCTACTCATTCCTTCACCCGACGCCGGCTTCTACCAAGGAGCAGGCTGCGTCCGGCAGGCAAGCCAGGGACTTTCCCATGTCCACGCCATACTGGGCCCTGGGCCCTCCCAGGAGCTGGCCCTGCCTGGGGAGGGGGTGCCAGAGGTCAGGTCTGCAAGGGAGGGGATCCTAGCCTTTTGGGGGAGCCTGGGGGATTGGCCTGGTGCCCTCAGCTGTCTGCAGGTAGTACCCTGGGAGGCGCGGGGCCCTCCCGCCCCAGCCTGTGACCACTCACCTGCCCAGACTTGTCTTTTCCATGGGGTTTGTGCTGCTGTTGCCCTGGGAACTTTCCATCAGAAAGTGTTGGGTGGGGTGGGCGGACAGGCCGGGGCAGGCTGGCGGACGCTTCCGCGCACCAGGCGTCTCTGCTGGGAGGGGCTCGCTGTCCCACACACCAGCACAGCCCACCCTGCCCTTCCTGCTCCGGTCTCAGCCCCCACCCCCAGGCCTGGGCGGCTGGAAGCGGTACACTCCTGCTCAGGCCTGCCCCACCCGGCACACAGACCTCCCCTCTTGCCCACCAGCTGCCAGGGTGTCCTCACAGGGCCCCCTCCGGCCCCTTCTCCTCACTTTTCTCCAAGCCTCCCATGGGGAGAGGGCGAGTAGGTGCTCCAGCTCCTGACACCTGGTCCATGTGTACATCTTTCTGTCCAAGAAAGGACAGGGCTGGGTCAGACTTCCATTCGAGGCTCCACAGGACTGGCCGAGGACCTGTGACTGAGAAGTGGGAGACCAGAGGCCTGGGAAGTCCTGGGAGCAGGTTTGGGGAAACCTCCAACCTTTCTCATCGGGCGCCTGGGACCCAGGCCCTGGGCTGAGCCCAGCTCCTCCTAGACGGGGACAGTAACACTGCCCAGCAGCCCCATGGACAATCTTGCTCATTTTGGCAGCTTGGGCCCCCTGTGTGGCCCTCTGTCCACTGAGCAATGTGGACCGGCAGGCCCTGAGCCCGGTGGCCCCACCCACACTCCTGCTCACTCACACGGCAGACAGCGGTTTGCTAGTGCCCACAGCTGTGTGTGCTGTCTGTCCCAGGGCCCCTTCTCTGTGCTGCCCCTGGGCCTTTGCACAAGCTGGGGCCTAGTCCCACCCGACCTGGGCTAAGGACAGTCCCAGCCCTGCCTGCACCAGCTCCTACCCCTCAGTGAGTGGTGGTCCAGGACAGGCAGGGAGCGGGGTATGTGGCCACGCCCAGGCTGCACTCTCTGTGGCCAAGGCTGAGCCGGAGGGAAAGGGCCACCTGAGCCAGGCTGGGGCTTCTGCCAAGGGGGCACACATTACATCCCCCTTGGACAGAAGTAGCCATGATGCCTGCCGCCCCATGGCCTGTGCCTCACTGCACATTCCTCTGACCTGCTGTCATGCAGGGAAGTGCCCCTCCCGTGGGTAGCACCGCAGAGCTGACCACCTCAGCACGTGGCTTGGGGGTTGCCCGGGCATTGAACGGCTCCCAGAATCTCTTTGCCGGCCTTGGGCCTTGCTGCTGGTCACCCCCTGGAGGGCTGCGTCTGACTTTCCCCACCTGCCCCCGCCCTTGGCCCAGCCTCTCACTACCTGAAACAAACACAGGGCGGCGGGGCAGGGTGGGGTGGGAGGCACAGCGCTCTGCTTCTTGCCTGGCCGAGCTTCTCACCAGTTTCCTGGGGGAGGGGAGAGGCCTCCACGCCTCCCGCCCTACTTGGACTCAGGCCACACCTTGCAAAGCCTGTTCCTTGTACCAGTTTCTCATCCACTGACTTTGTTCTGATTGCTGGTGACAGAAGACTTGAGAAGGTGGTTTAGGCAGAAAAGGAGATTTGCAGCTCACAGGTATGAGAAGACCGGGGCAGTGCGCCTTCAGGAACAGCTCCATCCAGGGATCAAACTTTCACACAGCTTATTTTCCTCCCTCTCGGCATTACTTTCCGCCATTTGGCTACATCCTCAGGTCACATGTGGCACAGGTGGCAGCCTAGGCTCACGTCATCAGAGCAGGAAAGAGGGACGCACTTGCCTCTCTCCCAGAAGTTCTGGAAAAATCACATTGGCTCTCATTGACTGTCATTGGCTGACCGGCTGTTGTGGGTTGACTTGTGCCCACAGAAAAGATATGTTGAAATCCTAACCCAGTACCTGTGAGTCTGACTTTATTTGGACTTTTGCAGATGATGCGATCAAGCTAGGGTGAGGTCAGTAGGCTGGGCCGTAAGCCAACAACTGGAGCCCTCCGAGAGCCACGTGAGCACACTGTGCAGGGGCAAACGCCCAGGGATGACGGTGGCACAGACTGGAGTGACGCGTCTGCAGGCTGAGGAGCGCCAGGGGCTGGCAGCCAATGCCAGAAGCTGGAAGAGGCAGGAAGAGTTCAGAGAGGGAGGCCCTGCCAACACCTTGATTCGGACGTCTGGCCTCCAGAACTGAGAGCAAACACATTCCTGTTGTTTTAAGCTGCCCAGTTAGTGGTCCCTTGTTACGGCAGCCCCAGGGGACTGGCACACCGCACCTCCGTGAACCCTCACCCTGCTCATCCCGGGAGCTGGGGATGCAGCCAGCACCCTGATGCCCTGGCCGGAAGTGGGGGCAGTTTCCAGAGGAGGGCAGGAGTGGCGCGCACCCACCAGGGAAGGGAGGAAAGGTGCTGGTGGACTGGGGGCCGACCGTGGGAAACTGACCGGGCCTGCTGGGGCTCGGACGGGGAGCTGGGCAATGACCTCGAGGGCTGGTCCCCTGGGAAGAGGTGACTGCGTCTCGAGTTGGGGCTGGGGCTCAAGGACACAAACCTAGGGCCCAAGGCCACCACACCTGCACACCTGTGTTTGTGGCCGAGGTCCTACCGGTCAGATGCCTAAAGCTACAGAATCTAAGAGCTTCCTGTGGCTTCAGAGTGCGAGGCAGCACCAGAGGGAGCCCTGAGTCCACCCTGAGAACGTCCGACGTCCAACAGATGGGCCGCTGGCGCCGCGGCTGCCCAGCCCCTCCTCAGCCACTGGCCGGTGGGGCTCCTTGTCACCCTGGGTGAGGACCTAAGTCTTCAGCAGGCTCTTAGAGGCCGGCGGCCCTCCTGCGTCCCTCTCTTGGCCACGCGCCCTGAGCGCCACCCCTTCATTCCCATGTGGCATTCGCACACCTGCTGTTCCTCGCGTCTGCAGTGCCTCCCTGCTCACCTCTGTTGGGCTCTCTCCAGCCCTGGACAGGGAGGCGTCCAGATGGAGCCAGCAGAGTGTCACTCGGCCCCACCACCACGGCGTCCTCGTGGTAGAGGACCAGTGCAGTGCTCTGTGCGCAGCAGTGCCCAGGGGTCCCGAGGGCCAGACGGGGACGGGGCGGGAGGGTAGACCGCCTGCGTGAGACACCGGTGCTCTGTTCACCTCGAGACAATGGGAACTGCACGCAGCCTGGAAAAGAATGCACTCCTGGGTCCCAGAGTCCCCTCCGTAAGATAACTTCAAACCAAGGAGCCCAGTTCGTGGCAAAGCGGACACCACAACAGTCACCTTCATAGTGCAGCAGCCGGCAGCCTGGAGGTGGGGGAGCCACCGCCGGGACGCACAGCCAAGGGGAGCTCAGCGCTCCCACCACGAGGCTGGGCGCTGTCTGCGGCCAGGCGTGGGTCTCGATGCACACCACTCTCCACCCCTCCAGCTCGGCCACGTGGGTCTGGGGGCCAGGCTCTCCTCGCGGCCCTCCTGAGAGTCGGGTCTTCCCGACTGTAGGGCCAGAGGCCCTGGCTCCAGGGGGAGTCTGCTTGCACACAGTCGGGGTCCCACCACGCTGAAAGCTACCAGACGCCCCTGGTCTTTTGGGCTCCACGCAGACCAGCAGGCAAAGAAAGGAGTCAGCACTGTGTTGGGAGCAGCTGGGCCTGAGGACCGTGTCAAGGAGGCTGGGCTGAGGAGCGTACCTGCAGCTTAGAGGGCCCTCGGGGTGACCGGTGCTCTGGGCCCATCTGCGGCAAGCACAGCCCCCACACAGGCAGGCACGGGTGGCAGCCGGGGGCTCAGAGCCTCAGAGGTCTGGTCCCCCGCCCGGCAGGCCCCCAGGCCAGCGGTAAGCAGATGGGAATGCGGAACGGAGGGGAAGATAAGGGCCAGTTAGGGTGTCCGTCCGCAGCCAGATGCGGCCTCAGGGCTGTGGCTCGCCGCTAACCCTGCTCTCGTGAGTTCTGGTTGTTTTCCCAGAAATCACAGCAGCCACAGTTGTGAGTGGGCAGTGGGTGAACTGAACACGGGGGGCAAGGAGATGAGCCAAGTTTCCACCAAATCCCCTGGCCCCTCCGCTCGCACATGGGCATGGTGAGCACCCACACACCTGCTGCCGGAGCTCGGCCCTTGGGCTCCCGAGCCTGCTCGGCCTGTGAGACCAGACCAGAGTGCCTGTAAACTGCAGTCCCCTGGGCAGCCCTCCGTCAGCGACTGCTCAGGGCAAGGGCCATCCTCCGGCCCCCAGCCCCTGATGGAGACCCTGGGGATGGCCTCGCTGCCTCCCGAGTTCCCTGCAGGATGGGTCTGTTGCCCCGGAATTCACAGGACAGGCCCCTCCGGCCCCTCTTCCCCACCCCCACTGCCTTTTCTGACAAATCGCTTTCACCCAGATCCCTGCCTTGGGCTCCGTTCCCAGGAGCCAGCCCAGGGCAGGGTTTCCTCCCCGTGGGACACGCGCACCACGGCCAGACGCGGTTCTCCGGGAGGAAGCGGCCCTCATTTCACAGCACTTTGCTTGAAGTCTTTCTCCCTCGCTGCAGACGCTCTGTCACTTCTGCCACCGTATCCCCAGACGTCACCAAGGTGCCAGGCTGAATCAGTGTGTCCAGTCAGGTGTGGAGACACTTGGGTAAAATGAGCTGAACCTGCTTCCACTGGGGGCCCAAGGGCAGGTGCTCGTCTGGAGCGTGGATCACGTGTTGCTGCTTGGTGCCTGGCCCCTTCCTCCGCCTGTCCCCCACCCCCACAGCGGATGAGGGAGCCCACCAGCTCCAGTCTCCCCTGTCTGGACGTCACCTTCTGTGTGTGGTTTGGGCCTGGACTGTCAGCTTCTCTGCCGGACCCTGGGCCTGGAGGACCTGGTCCCAGGTGAGCAAAGGCACATGGCTGGTGGCACTGTGGCCACCACGGAGGGTCCACTGCCGTCCCTGCCTCTCACCTCTGGGGCCACCTCTGGTCTCCACCTCCCAGGCTCCTTCCCCAGCCCCTACAATTCAGTAAGCCCCCCATTGTCCTCCCAACAAATGGTCTTTTTGCTTAGGGCCCCCAGCTGCTTCCAGAGCAGTGTGGCCTTGGGGCAGACACAGGGTGCAGGGCAGTGGGGCCCCTCACTCCTTGGGGGCGGCCCCAGGACAAATCTGCTGGTTAGGTCGTGCTAAGCACCAGGGCTCCCAGTGATGAGGAATCACATCTCCCCTTCTTTTGAGTGGAAGCTAATTAAGAAATGAGACCCAGGCACAGAGGTCGAGGTCAAAACGCCACCGAGCTGAGGCCATCGTTTCAGTCTGCTCCCATCACTGCCCTGAGGCCCTGCCCCGCCTCCCCCACCGTGCTTCATGCGAAGGACTCATCTTTGTCCAGAGGGCTCCCAGGATCTGCCTTCCCTCAGGTCAGGGAGGTGGGAGTCCTGGGTGAGCCGAGGGGAGACCTTGCCCCCGAGGGCTGAGCGATGGCTGGATGGGAGATTCCAAGACTGTGGGCCAGGGAGTGGTGACAGCCTCCAAAGAAACACCCAGCTCATGTCTCCTAGGTCTGGCCACTAACTAATAGAACAGTGGTTTATATACAGTAGGGGGTTTATCCTCTCCCTGAAATGAGCCCATGGGGGGGCCATCTGAGGCTGGCACACTGCTCCTCAAAGTTACCTGTGACCCAGGCTCCATCTGTGTTTCTCATCTGTCATTCTTGGCTGCAGCTTCAATCCTCGTGATCAGAAGAAGGCTGCCCGGGCTCCAGCTGTCACATCTACACACCAAAAGTGAAGAAGAGGAAGGCCAAGGGGCAAAAGGCAATCTCCTTCCAGCTGTGTCTCTCCCAGGGTGTGAAATGGAATAATGCCATGAGGGCCCACATGGCAGTCTTGAGCAAAATCACAAGTGATCCGGCTGTGGTCGCAGCTGATTCTGGGGATTTCCCTGCAGGTGCACCTGCACGTTTAAGCAAAGCCTTTATTTGGGGTTACTCAGTGCCACCTGGCTGGCGAGGGCAAGAGATCTGAGATGCTTCAGACATCACTGGGGGCTCACTGAGAACCACAGTTTGTCCACAGCACCAAACACCAGGCAGTTGTGGAAAGGCTGGGAGACTCCGCAAGCTGTGGAGAGACCTCCACCTGTGGTCCCTGGGAGGAGAGCCGAGGCCCCGCAGCCTGACCGCTGCGCTTCTTATGAAGGACAGAGGGCGTTTTCACTCCGGGGGCCGTCACAACACGTGGCCACAAGCCTGGAGCCTAAGACGACCAAACCCTGTCCTCTCACAGACCCGAGGGCCAGAAGTCCAGTCAGGGCGTCCGCCAGGAGGCTCTGGTGGAGGTGCCTCCTGCCGCTTCCAGCTCAGGGGGCTCCCGGCGCCCCTGGGTCGTGTCCGCGTCCCTCTGTCTCTGCCTCCATCTTCAGTCCTCACGTGGCCTCGCCTCTGCTCACCTCTGTGGGTCTCTTATGTGACACCTGTCCTTGGATTTAATGCCCACCAGATCATCCAGGATGGCCTCATCTCCAGACCCTCAATCGATTTACGCTGCAAAGACGCTTCTCGCAAATGAGGCCACGGCCGCAGGCAGCAGGGATTAGGACGGAGCATGACACTGCAGGGCCACCACCCAGCCCACTAGCCGGAAGGAGGACGTGTTTGTGTTGTTTGTGTTTGCACTGGAAAAGCGCAAAAGGGGCCCTAAGCGTGCTCTTTGTTCGGGAGGACCCCCAGGCCTGCGGCGGGGAAGGGGAACGTGGCATGGAGCCAGCAGGCAGGAGCCGCGGAGCAGCAACTCTGTGCCGTGTGAGGGCCCTGCTCAACCCTGCGCGAGCTTGCGTGTCCCGAGCCTCCAGGAGCTGGTCCTCAGGAGGGGCATGAGGGGCCCCCAGCCCTGGCGGAGGGGACAGTCCTGGATCTGCCTAGGTATTGGAAGGAGAGGAGAGTCTCCTGGCCCTGGCGTTCCAGAAGTGTTCTTGGAGACGCCCGATTAAGGCCTCGACAGTCTCTGGTCACTGTCCAAGGCCACCACTTCTGGTGCAGCTGCAACGCTGAAGGATTGAAGGGGGTCTTCACCCCTGGCTCAGGCCAGTGGCAGGGGCGCCGATGTCATTAGACCCACTCTGGGATGGGAGTCATGACCCATCTGGCCCACGAGCCCACTGGGCCCACCGCCTGAAGGGTCACCCACAGGTGACAATGGGCCGAATTGTGTCTCCCCCAAATGTGTTGAAGTCCTAACCCCCAGACCTCAGGGTGTGACCTTATTTGAAATAGTGTTGCAGACGTCATTTATTAAGTTGAGGTGAGGTCACACTGGAGTAGGGAGTCCCCTAACCCAAGGGGACCGGCATCCTTACGAGGAATCAGAGACGCACGGGGAAAACCCACGACAACCGAGGCGGAGGACGGGGCTGGCAGCCGCGGGACTAGGGGTGCCAAGGGCGGCATCCCTGTTGGAGGCTGTCGGAGGACGCCCAGTTGCTGGTACTGGTTCCAGCAGCCCCAGGACGTTAACGCACCGCCTGATCCCACCAGTTTCCCCTGCCCGGTGACCCCAGGAAGCGCTCAGGTCCGGAAACTAGTGTTTGCTCAGGCCAGCACCTAACCATCGCCCAGCGTGGGCCTCTTCCCTCCTCCCTGGGCCCTCTGGACGATAGGCAGAGGACGTGGAGGGCGTCCTTGTGCTGCCCTCCCTCGGGGCTCCCCCGCACCTCTGAAATAAAGGGGCCCGGGCCTGGGGCAGAAGCAGGGCTGCTGCAGCTGGTCCTGGGTTCTCACCCCATCAAGTGAGGCTTTGGGGACTGCCTGCCTACCTTGGTTCGGGGGTCTTCTGGCTAACAAGCCAGCCACAGGGAGCCTGGGGGGCCTCCAGTACAGGCGGAGGGGAGGGCAGACCGGCCGGGCTGCAGGGGTGACTTTCCCTGCCTTCTCCACCCACCAAGCCCGCTGAGAACAGGCTCTGGGCCCTTCCAGTTGCCTTCATCCCCCATCACTCGCCCCTCAGGGCAGGGGCTGCTCACATCCTTAAGCAACTTCGCCTGCCCCAAGGGGCTGCTGACCCCTCCCCCAAAATCAACCCCGGAGAAACTCCCGAAAGAAGAAGGGAAGGGTGGGTTCCAGGAACCACCAACT